ATCACGCGCCTAGCACAACAGCCATCTTTTATTTTGCATGGCTATGAAATGGTGTAAACACTGGTGTGGAGGTCAAGGCTGTGTAACGTTATGTAACTTCACCCGTCCAACTTTTCACTGCGCACTTTATTTATAAGCTGGAGTTGGGGGCGTCTGTCGTCTCTTCATGGACGGCCGGTTGCCCACTTCCAATATCAGTGATGCGTTCTGTAAATACCGATGTCCCCAAGGGCCATGATTCTGGCTTTACTTTAGAAGTAAGGAAGGCTTGACACACTACCTACAGGAGCAACATTGGTGGGATGCTGCATTACTGATGTGGGAATGGGGCTGCAAGTGCTGAGGTCTCATCCCACTTAAACTGGCTGTTAAGATGAAAATCTGTTCGTGTGCACTTCTTCAACAATTCCAACTGGATGAGGAAGTCGTTCGAAATAAAGCTTCATTTGGAAACATTTATAGAGTGCAGATTGGGCTGTTGGGGATTTGCTCTCTCCAAATGTACTAAAAAGGGGAAATGTGTTGCTGATTTGCTAGAGGACTGGGCTGTTGCTGGTGTAGCTTGGAGGTCAGCGTCATAATCATAGGAATTCGTTTATGCGATTTGATAATCCTCCAAACCTTTGCTGACATCATCGCTTTATGATGCTGAATTTTGCCAATTATGGATGAATGTTTTGCAGTTTTGGCGCAAAACATTTGCTTGTAACGAACAAAGTCGGATTGGGTGGCGCAAGTTTATCTAGAATTTGTATCAGAACCGCTGGATATAAATTGCCAATCTCACTTAATGAGCAGGACCCTCTCGGAGTCGTGCCCATCTTTATGGAGAATCTGAAAGAAACCTTTCATTTCTTACCTCTGTTCATTAATGAAGGTACAACGGCAAAGGTGCATCCAGCTTTGCTTTGTCGTGGCATCGGGTCACACATTTGGGAGCTTCAAATCCATTTTATTAGTGTTGCTGTACTCTATTTTGCAAAAGGGAATAAGACGAAACGTTAAACATTTCTGGGTAGACAGATTTGGCCTATCAGCAGTGAGTTCATTTTTGTCGTGCTCTTTCACAGTAGATGTTTCACAAAAGAGCCAGGCTGACTAAACATTAAAAAAACTGTTCTGATAAAAGGAGGCCCAAAATTAGCTTGAAATTGGTTCCTCATTTTTATCCATGGCACAGGCTAGCA